AATGTAATCAGACTAACAGCAATCATATAGTTGGTAGAATTGAAGTAAAATTTTCGCAACCGGTAATGTAGAAACTCATCTATGGCGTTCTTGATTTGTTGAGATGGTGGTGGACTTTCACAAATGAATGTTTCTTGTGCAATGTTAAGAAAGTACAAAACTCTGCGGTTTCCACTCAGGAATATCGATGTAGAAAATATAATCAGGTACCTAGGTAATAATGAAGCAAGTAAACCAGAAGTAAGAAGCCTAAAAATGATTATTCAAAGTTAAAAGGTAAATGCGTAATTTGTGTTAAATACAGAAAACGACCTTAAAATTTGTAAAACATATCCGCAAACGAGTCAGCGAAGCGGTGAAAGTAAAATAGCAACAGAAAAACACTACATTTATACTAAAAAATCCCAAAAAAAGCTGTCGAGTAATCGTAATTGCGTGTACGTTCTACAAGTAATGATCGAATCTCGTCTTACAAGAGTGCGTGCGCCGAAAGAAAAAGAAATCTCTGCACGACCTCGGATGGCGACACAAAGAACTAAAGGTAATAAGAAATCTACTACATCAGCGAAAATAGAGAACTAAAAGGCAATGAGAAGTCTACTATACCTATCGGAATAATTTACATCTAAACTAGTGAATTACAAAGAAAATACCGAGATGGCGTAAGAATATCGAATATACATAAGGATACAATAATCAAAGGTATTACCAAAGAGGTGCACATAGTGATATCAGAGCAGAAAATCTGAAATACTACGACAGATATACCTATACGATGGTATGTTGGGAGGTCATCTCAGAGTAACAGACACTTCAGTGAGTAAATTGCGAACTGGACAGAAGCATGCACTGCACTGTTGGTAAAAGTTCTGGTTCTGGTAAAAGAAGACGAAAATTTGAGTTGGATCTAGCCAGTGGAAATGGATCTAGCCAGTGGAAATTTCGAATTGCTACATAACTTTACAATGATGTATTTTTACTAGAGCTTTACGACAACTTGTGAATACCCTTATTTTAATTAGAAATTGTAACTAGCAGAAAAGGTTGTCTTCAAAGTGTAAAACTGCAGTCACTGCAGATCAAGGACCAGCAAAAAAAGCAAAATTCTGTTACAGATACCTACATATGTACATACAATCATTGAATAATATATTATTCAATGATACAATGTTAAAAATATATTTTAATAACAATTTCACAAATTTACAAATATCTGAATTATAATAAAATATACTTAATTTAATATTTGGTTTTAGATTAATATTCTTATATTCAACAGTACAAAATATAAGAGATTCAACACTATACAAGCAAGTGCTTGCTTTTTTTTTTTTAAATTATGAAACCACACCAATAGGATTCTAGTGTCTGTTGACACACTGACATGTTTCTAATCACCTGTAGAAAGCTGTCATTTCATTGGTCCTGCCCCCTATTGCTTGGTTCCATAATATCAAAAGTATAGTCCAATTCAAAGTAAATTGTGTGTGACCGTATCGTATCTTCTGTATGTCCATTCTTGAATACCACAAACTATAGTGTAAGAAATGATAATGGTATTTATATGAAGTATAGACAACTTAGTTTGAATTAGACTATAATTAACTTTCAACCATACAGACATCCAATACACAAAATGTAGCACGACACATCGGGCATGTACATTTTGACGACAACCAGGTGTCTGGTCGTTCATTGTCCTGCCGGGAAGCAAACCACTTTGCCATACATTCCATACACCACATAGGTCTACAGTAGCACGTAACACACGCATTATCACCAGTATTATCCGTACACACTTTTTGGAGTTTCACATTTGCGGTTTTCTGCATACAACCAATGCAGTTATCCAGCTCCTATAAAACTATAGTAACACCAGCAATACTTATTTACCTCACAAACCTCTTCGGTGCTATACACGGGATTGTCTTGCACGACTTCTCTAAAGGTATCAACAAACTTATCCATCAAACTTTTGTGAACTAAAATGTCTGGCGTTATAGTGATAGGTCTCGCTAACCGATCTTGCAAATCTCTAAAATCTGCCGTATTAACCCGGATCTTAAAAGGCGGAACATTGTCTCGCGCAGATTTAACTTCTATAGTAACATATTGAACGTGGCCAAAATTTTCAGCAGACATGGTATGTGTATCGGTATGACAAGCATTAAGAGTGGCGTCAGATTGGTGGGCAACAAAAATGGTAAGAGGTGTTACCTTTAGAATCCAATTTTCAGTTGCGATTACTCTTGAAACCGCATTTGTTTGAATGGAGATCTTATCTACCCTAAAATGAGAATTACTGTGACAGTATTATTTGGGGATACTACCTTCGAAATTCCACATTAATATCTGATGCAACAGACAGCCAAGTGCCATTATTGTTACAGAATCGGGACAGGTTTACTGCAATTGGGTGGTTTTTCCAATTGTCATCTGACCATGTTTTGATTTGATATAAAGCAAGCAGCGGAAATATGAAGCAGCTGTTTGTAAATAACTGCCAAAGTAGTGATTTGTCGAAGGTCCAAAGTGATATAATCTGTTACATACTGGATAGAAACAAAAATAATTTGAAATTCATTACCTCTTCGCTGTAATTAAAAAACCACAATCCTGTCACATACCCTAAAGGAAGTAGGGAATATATGAACAAAGTAATAACTGACTGCTTAATGTGATACAATACAAAGTGTTCATTCTCCGATTTCAAAAAAGATGAAAATATTGCAGATATAGTTAAACCGGACGAAGTGAATTCTACTGGCGGATACACTATACAGCCACATATTAGCAAATAAAGTATGGTATATAATAAAATTTCAGAATCATGAAACATATCGGAACTTTACACATAACCACGCAAAATAAAATTTCAGTCGTTTGAACTAATAAATTCGAGACGTAGTAGCTCTATTGACTCACAAGAGGCGTAATGACCTAAAGAATTATCGATATAAAGCGGCCAATTCACTACAAACGAAATTGTAAATTCAAAATTGAGGCGCTTTCTTTCGGCTACTTCGCAATCATGATTCAGGATCACGTTTTACGAAAGAACGCGCGAATTTAAATCAAAGTATGGTTAAGTTTACGGAGTACACATTTGCATTCGAATTACATATTTTTTGTTTGGATTTTGAAAATAATTTAAATACAAGTGGAAGTACTTGCACGATTATGCTCCTCTTCAGTTACAAATATTCACTAAACTAACATTTGAGCAAAAATATCATTGCATTTATAGGTTAGGAATTCGTGATCATAAAACTTTTATGTTCAGTTTGTTCACGATTTTAGCAATCATTATTATAAGATCACATTTCGAAAGAACGTGATTTGACAATTCAAACGCGTTTGGATCACCGAAAGAAAGCGCCTTTGATATATTGAAAAAATTTAACACTTCTACTCGCTCGGCATTGGTATGAATTCTGTGTTTTGTAGCAAAAATCTACAGGTAGATGGTTATGTAATGCCATTGCAAAAGTAATTAGGTACCTTTGAAGCTATATTTAGCATATTACACCCCACAAAAGGGTTTAAAATAAGATTACAATTCTCTCATAGTAAACATAAACATTCTAAAGAAAGCGAGATTATAATGTCAAACAAATGTCATAACCAATTAAAATTACTACATACAGATACAGGTATCTACTTCTACGTACAAATACTACTTTTTGAGCACCCGCTATATAGAGGACTCTAGAACGCAGTTTACGCACATTTAAAACCCGGCTATACGTTTTAAGAGGACCATTGAGTTAAAATCTTGCCGATGCGCCGCCTAACGTATCGATATTGTTGGCGCTAAAAAGCGTTGTTAATGATTTTTACCTACCGTAAAGCTTATATTTGACGCTACATAAAGGACAATTTTGTGGGGATCGAAATTTGGACAGTTTAGGGCCCTCCACGGACGTTTCCGCGCCCTATTCAACTCAAAATATGTAAAAAAAAGTTTCAGTGATGACGTCATCGGTGCATGTTCACTGATCTAAATAAATGTCAGTGTGCATGTTTTAAGGAATTCTTCAAATTCAAGGGTGAAGTGTCTACGCATATTCAAATACTAACGAGTTTCCTGTGTTAATATATTAAGTTATTTGCTAGATGTGAGAGAGAACCGAAAAATACCGGTTTCTTGTCACTAAAATAGCGGTACGGTATCGGTTCCGGTTCGTCAATATTCCGCTGCCGCTCTATGTTCATAAGGTATCTTATTAGAAATCGTGGATCGTTGCTAATTTCACGAGGATGTTCTATTGGACCTAAAAGTTCGTAGTTCATCGGTATTGGTTCTCAAACGGGGGCGTATGGTGTATTCTTATTACTGAGAAGGAAACTTTCTTTCATATCTAAAGGTGCATTTCACAAATCGTGATTTGTGGTGTATTTTGTAAATATTTTGCGTCTCAAATTGTTGTTTAAACGAAGACTGGAAAACAACAAAATGACTGGTTGTTGTGTTCCAAATTGTAAAAATCGTTCGGAGCAAGGGTTTCGCCTCTTTCGAATACCGCGTAATAAAAGTAACGACGAAAAAACGAACTTGTGGATAAAATTTGTGAACCGAGGTGAATTATCATTAAGTGCATGCATATGTGAAGTAAGTACGAACTTGAATTGATTACTGAATGTAGAATACCATATTGGCGAAATTTCAGGTACATTTCGAAGAGCATCATTTCGAATCTGCACGAGCAGACAACAGAAAACTTTTAAGATGGAACGCTGTGCCAACTATTGGTGCCTGTGAAAATCTATCTCCCAAAATAGAAATTATAAATAAATCTCACTTGGAAATTATAGGTGAATTATGTGTGTGAATCTTTGTGATTGTGATTATATTGCATTTTTAGATCACTGTACAACAAATGACGTAGACTCATTCGTAAAATTGGAGGGTATTTTCAGCAACATTGCAATTTGAATTTACCTATCAGCAATGTATGATTGTAGATGATGTTGGAGAAGCTCCTACTGAAACTGAAGATTCTGTCAACAATGTACAGTTGGGGCAATTAAAAACTAAACTTAAAAATGCCCACCATAAAATTTCTCGTTTGGAAAATAAAATTAAGGAAATGGAAGAGAGATACAGCTGTATTTTTAGTGAAGATCAGTTAAAATTCGTGAAATATGGCAATCATAGAGGCGAAGAATGGTCAGACCGCACAATTAACAAAGGACTTAAACTCTACATGACTTGTGGAGCGAAAGGATATGAGGAAATCAGGAGACAAGGTCTCCCATATCCGAGTATAAGAACACTTCAACACAGAATGCACGCTATGAAATATGAAATTTTAGAAGATGATGATTATAAGGTAACGTAACGAGTTAATGATGAGTAAATAGTTGCTAAGTCTCAAATTTTTAGGTCACATTGAAGGCTGACGGAATTCCAGATAACGATATTTAATCGTATCAAATAAGGACAAGAATGAAATGTCTGGCATTAAAGATGAGTGTTTTAGGGGCACACAAGGTGGTAGGAAAATCTTCAAGATGAAACCAAGCAGTTGTAAGGCTCTGTTCTAGCCCAACCGATTTCAAAGATAAACGTGCTATCTTAAGTTCAGAACATCAATCCAGAACAGCAATAAGTTAGTATATTTCCATACTATAAAGGTACAAAAAGTACTTGGTTTATTAACAAATTAATGGTTTAATTTTTATTGCGTTAATCATATTGTAATTTAATGTTTGGCAAAATATAATGTATTATTTTTTATTATTGTGAGTTTATTTGAATGAATGAAAGTTTTTTTATGGGCCATCACGGCTGTGAACTGATTATATTGTTCCATAAATTCTTGTTCCTTTGTCAAAAATGGGAATCGGAAACAATTTGTTATCCATCCCTGCCTTTGAGTATGAGAATCCGTTGTCGATTTGTCTTTTGGAAAAGCAGCTCTTTCCTCACGCTTGTGTTCTAATGTTCGATAGAGAAACGCATATAAATGATTGAAAATTTATTACAATTTTACAGTTTGCCTTATTCCAGTTTTTCGGAGTTGCGCTGCAGCATTTAGATGGCGCTGCTAGTTTCAAGCTCAAGCTCATTTTGTTTTGACGCTAAATTAAAAAAAAATGCCTCTGAAGTTGTAGAAAAACTAATCTCTACAGAAAAATAATCCTGGTAGGCGGCAGAGGAGTGTTAGTTGTGTTAGAAAAAAATAACATTTTCCGGTCTCGCGTCTATCAATTGCATTGTGCATTTGCCATTTATAAACATTTAAATTTAAACTTTTGATTAGGATTTATTGCTTTCTAGGAAAGGTACACTCAGATAACACAAACAAGGATAAGGGGTTATTCTGGTGTAATTTGTGTACTGACCATCTTTGGTAAATTTATTTAATTTGAATATTTTAGGAAGATATTGTAGGAGTGAATTTTCGTGGCCCACTGGAAAGTTTCCGTGGCCTACCAATATTTTGTCCCCCCTAGGGGGCCATACGGCCCCCGTTGATAAACACTGATCTTATGATCTAGCTTCTATCAAATAAAAGTTGATAATTCAAACCTAACCATAACCGTTGAGTGAAATTTGGAACATTTCCCATATCAAAATGGAAACTATAAAATTTCCTGACAGAAAGGAGGCATGAAAATGAAGTTTTCGGGACGATTTTGGATAAACTTCTTTAATTAATTGCTCAGTTCTCTGAGAAACGGCCTAAATCTCGATAAATTAGCGCGCCTCCAATGACACTAAAAACAACCTATGCTTACTTCAATTGGCCGGACTAAAATTCTAAAATTCAGTAGTCTGTTAACACCTTGTTACTTGGTCAGGCATAGGTCTATGTTATCTATGTAAACTGCACGGCATTGCTTACTTTAATACTCGTTTTAACTTAACGTTGGGAAACTAAATTCGTCTAATTCTTAATTTTTATAACACTAACATTTTATACTGTTTTTAAGGTTCACGTTCATTTATACTGGATTGTTAAGTTATCTATAAAATTCGTTGTTCTTTATCTACGAGTAAAAAATAAGAGGAGAGAATGTATGTAACGGTGGTGGGAAATAGCATAGCACGCGACGGAAGTAGCCATCAAACCATCATATTACCTCCTTTGCGCTGGTCAGTGATGTTGACTATGATCATTGTATATTTATTAGCATATACAATGCTATGACTTGACTGATGATAAAACAGAAGAGACGATGCCAGTTTTCTTTTATTACGCCACTGCCATTAGTGACCCGATTCCCATCACTCTAAACCTCCTTTTTATCCATCCGTCGCGCCCCTTTTAATACAAGGTTCTCTCCTCTTATTTTTTACTCGTAGTTCTTTACGTACATCGGCAATGGTAACGTCCTCTATACTACTTTAAAGTCTGCTGCTTCATTTCTCGTACATAACTTTGTTGATTCTGTACCATGCAGGCTACTACTAGCGCCACTCTTGAGATACATTTTGCTCTCACGATCAGCTTAAAAATGAAAAACCGATAAAACTAGTCGTGTTGGAATGCGAAGGAGACTTCTCGGAAAACGGACAAGCCACACTTCAATATGCTCGAGAAGTGTTCCGGGAAATTGAAGATCAAATTGCGAAAAATTAATTGGCAAATGTAATTTACACTGATAACCATTGAATAATAGTGGTGATTCAATGACTAAACATAGAAAATTCAGTATCCACCAATCATATGGGTATTGACTTCTTGAGACAATACAACGTTTCTATTTAGAGAATCATTTATTAACGAGCGACCCAGCTCGTTCACGATTTTGGACTTGTGTACGTCCGTCCGTCCGTCTGTGTACATGATCATAACTTGCGCACGATTTGGAATTTTTAAATTCTGTTTTCAGTATTAGGTAGACAATGACCAAGGGACTAATATGATTTCCGTCATCTGTACTTATTGTCCGTCCGTCTGTGTGTTTGGTATCCAAACAATTTCATTGATACTATTTTTGGTTCCAAATACAACTTTTAATGGATGGATGACATATTAACCTTTAAGAATTTAGAACCATATTTAAAAACAATTTTCGCCAAACTACAGTTCGATTTGCGGAAATGTAAATTTGCATGTGAAGAGGTACATTTTCTTGGATACATATAGATACTTCACACTACAGTAACACGGAAATACTATGCGATCAAAAATGAGTTACTGTAGTGTCGCCTTTGGAATTTTTGTTTACATGGAAAATCGTATTTAACTTGAACTTCCAAAGGCGACTCGACAGCAACTCATTTTTGATCACCCGTTATAATGCTTTGTGCAATGGCGTGCGGTCAATTACACCACATATACAAACCGCCTGTCCAGCTAGCTCAAATCAATCAAAATTTGAAACACCTGAGGTAAATCTTGGGGACAATTAGACAAATCTGCACGTGCTCGCATCAGGGTCGTACAATGGATTCAAATAAACACACAATTAATTGATTAACAATGACAAAAAAATTATTCCGAAACACATACGCAGTAAATCAACAAGAAAAACCTGAAATAAAGAGTGGTATAAACCCGATATTACATTTACTACACACGCAATGTAACAGTTTCATTCCATTCAGGCGGGTAAATTTAAATTAAGCATGACGTGTTGCATACATTTAGGGAAATGTTTACCTACTATCATAGTGTATTCTTTACACTAAGCTACTATTTTGCATAATTATCCTATCTAAAAGGCTATCAAAATTTTATCTGGGATTTTTCAAGGAATTTTTAGATTGCCTTATCAAGGAACAATTTCCGTTTAACTTTCGTCGGTGCTAATGCTAATAAAGAGATTATTTAAGAAAATTTCCCTGATCTGGGGTTAACCAATTACCACCACCATCAATTATCGTTCCTACCCTTTGGTTGTGTACTGGGAAGTTTGTATTGGAAGCGATATTTTGCTTTATGCAGATTAAAGAAAGTTGGAAGAATGTTTGCCGCCTGTGTGGTTGTCCACATAAATTGTAATTGTGTTTTGGAATTTTCAAGCTATAACATCTAGGTAAAGTTCTTTGTTTTTAGTCGTTTTCATTAGTACCTACTCACACGTAACAAATTTTTTAGCTTGAATTTATTGGTGCTTGATATCCAAGTTGTCCCCTGGGTTGTAAACTGAAAAGCAGTCATTGTCAGTATCTACAAGATCGTAGCCATCGTCAACATTGCATCCTTAACAAAATTATTGTACCTACCTAGTAATAAAAACAATCGGCTGTTACCGTAATCTTATAATAATTATATTCTGCTAGTAGGTTATCGATTATTATACCTAATTACATCATATAATACACAATTTGAACAGTTATACAGTTTTACCTTTTTATTAATTTGATTAAATTCGCAGTCGCCACTACTGTACTTTATATCTTACTTTTCCCCTTGTGTGAAGCAAGCACCTTTCCCTCTTGATCACAGGGAACTACAGCGTGGTACTGATTTGGCGCCCTGGTAATAATAATAAGGTAGTACCTATCTCTTGGGCAGAGCCTTACCCACCCGCTCTATAATTTAGCCGGCTACCTAAACACATCAAGTAATTTCCCCCTTTCCTATAAAAGATATTTGTGTTCCCCGTCCCGTCACAGCAAGTGTTCGATCACAAATAAATAAGGAAAAACTTACAATCACTTGCATGGTGTTTCTTAATAATACTCCTGATTGTAGCGAAACTGCGTCTTCAATTAACCAAAAAGGTCGATTACCTGACAAAATTAACGTATACAAACGTACACGCTCTTTTCCAGTCGCAAGGTGAACAGCATACGGCGAGACATCCGCCTTAAGGCTAACAAGCAACGTCTCTTCCTTATTTTTCCTATTTAAAAGAACACCACTTGGAGTTTTGATAATAATGTCCTATACATATCTCTGATAGATTTCGAAATATCTTGGTTTCCCTGGTTTTTATATTCCAATCTTAAATAAGTTATGTGTGATTTATGAGGTGGCCATGCAAAAAAAGGCAATTTTTATCTGCCTCGTCGAAAACGAAAATCGTGTCGATTAATTCATTTTCCGAATAATTCATTTACTTAAGTCTAAAAACATAGGGGTTATAGGCAATAGGTATTCCGTGCCTGAATAAATGTTACAGTAGAGCCTGGGGATCCATAGTTGAGAATCAGCTATTTTACGAGAGTTAGTTCTTTCGAGGAGCCCAAGCAATGCGAAGTTTAGTAAATTGTTGCAACTATAAATTGTATAAATTAACATTTCATAGCGTACCTAAATGAAAGTGGACAGCACTTTTACCAAATTAAAGTCAAACTTCATCAAAGTGTCATTTTTGGGTTAAAAGATTAACAACCGTCTGAAGAAAGATGACATTTTCAGTTTACTCATCAGAAGTGAAAATTAGACATCGGAACAGACAGCATTCGATTATAGCATCAATAAACTGTGGTTACAGCTATGATTGCAAACAAACAACTTCACCAAGAAAGTGTAACACCATGCAAAAAATAGCCAACTAAAATTTATCAAGGCTGTTTATTGAGAGTAGGTAGTTTAAATTCGCTTTCATTATTTCCTACTTTAATGAGTTATGCAAATAGGCAAGCCGGCAATTAGCTATACCTTGTTTGCCTGACTGATAATGACGATTGCGGAATTTAACATTAGGTAACTATCGTTTAGCGCAGATCCTCTGTGACGCAAACGGCAGTAATTCTGAAACTGTTTTGTGATAGGACACATGAACTTTTCATAATCGTGACAACTGAACGGTCCCAAATGAGCGGAAGGATTCATC